CTTTGCGCGTCCCCGAGGCTGCAGCGTCGCCTCCTGCCTCTCCCTTGCCCCTGCCCAGGTCTGCCAGGATGGGCGAGTGTGTGAATGCGGTCACACCTCGCCTGACAGCTGTGTGAGGCGCCAGATTTCCTGGGGTTCCCAGCCTGGCGCTAAAGGCGGAGCCCACACGGGTCATCTTCCCCGGGTCTCGCGAGAAAAGCCTCCCCAGGCGGCTTTGGAGTGAGAAGAGTTAACAGCAAGGAATGACCAATCAAAGGGGAGCTGGCGGTGGGGGACATGGCTCATTGTAGAACAGCTGCAGACCCCCTCAATCCCACCTTATCCCCAAAAACAGAATGAAAGAAAAACTGTGGGTGCTGGACGTATCCTGCAAGAGCAACCTCCCTGAGGCTGATGGGACATGTTGTGGAGATGCACAAGGACCTGGCGTTTTGGGCTCAGACCAGGGTCACCCAGGTCATTCTTTGCCAACCCTTGTAATGGGAGAGCAAAACTGCAGAGGCCAGAAAAGGGAGCTGGGGTGACCCCTTCCTCCAACTAAAGTCTCGCCTTCTAATGTGTCAGTCATCTTAAACTGGAAGTTATTGGTAGACTCACCCACTGGTGATTGCCGAATCCTCTGGCCAGCTCTGAGCACTCAGTTTTGAGTATGGGAGCACAGGCTAGCCTCTGGAGTGCTGGGATCCAGGCGGGAAGTACTCTTTTACACTGCCGCAATGTTCCTTTGGGGGAACATTCCTGTCTAGACTGATTCAGACTTAGGGCTCTACTGCAAACTATTTTATTGTGTCGAACACCCTGATACAAAGCAATGGAGGGGCTGTACTTCCTGTTACAGCCCATCGTGAAGGGAGTCAGGCCAGTAGCTCAAGCAGGAGCCTGGAGGCAGGAACTGAAGCTGTGGCAGTGGGGAGTGCCCCGGGGGTGGAATAGCCCACAGTGAGCAGTCATCAGTCAAGAAAGTGCCCACAGACACGTCCACAGGACAGCTTGGTGGACGCCTCTTCTTTGAGGTCACTTCCCAGGTTTGTGTCATGTTGACAAAAAGCTAAGCTCACACATTGGAGAGGTATGTATAAATGATTCACACACGCACACACACGCACACATGCATGTGCACACACATGCACACACATGCAATGCACATGGTCACATGCACACACACGCAGGTGGACACACACATGCACACGGTCACATGCGCACACGCACTCTCCCACACACGCACACATGCATGTGCACACACATGCACATGGTCACATGCACAGACAGATGTACACGTTCACAAGTTTCCTCCTGATAGAGCACACTAGGGAAACTCTCATCTGTCCTGACTTCATAGACAGGAATAAAACTGAGTCGTGTAGCAGATTCAGGCGGCTGTCAGCACACAGCTGTAATGGAGCTGCCTGGGAGTCCGAAGCACTGAATCTTGAGTCCAGGACAGCATTAGCAGCAGCACCCAGTCAGCGGCAGGTGCGATAGATCCATTGTACGTTCCACTGACTCTGATGCGTGCAGGCACACACTAATATATATATATTTTAAAACGTCTGATACTTTTGTTAGCATTCTCAAACCCCAGAAACCTGAACATGACTCAAAGACTGAATGTCACACGGGCTCGTGGGGTAGACAAAGCACCCTTGGAGCATGTGAATGTCCGTGTGGGCTCACGGGAGGAGAGCTGTTGCTAGCTCTCCAGGCACAGGCTTGATCTTTATAGTTTTAGCCAACGGCTGCGTCTCATGTGCACATGCTACAGTGCACACAAGGAGGTCAGAGGACACAGAGCTGCAGTAGATGGATCTAAGTGAGAGGTGGGGCAGTGGCAGGCTGGAACTGACCTGGCTTGACCCCCAGCCACAGGAAAATGCTCAAACTGGCCATGTCTGAGGTCCGAGGCTGCAGGGTTACGCACTGGGGATGAAGGGGCACTTAGCTTTCCAGGTGTCCCCTGGCCGATGGGATAGGAGAAACTGGTGGCTCAGTAGTCCTGGGACTAGTCAGGCAGACTGTCCCTGAATGGAAGGTTGAAACGGAGTCCAGGCTAGGGAGTCGCAAGTCTCTAAAAACTATCTTATGGGGGCGGGGTAGCTCTTGTGTAGTGCTGGATTCCGTCACTAGAACATCCTGAATAAGTTAATGAATGACGTGTGGTATGAATGGATGGACCAGAGTGGCTGTGTGACCTCCAAAGCAACTCCAACCCTCTCAGTGCCATTGTTTGTAAAATGAGGCTCAATATTAAATATTACCTCACGGCCTTGGAAGGGCTCTGCAATGAGCCCTGCACACAGCAAGTAGTCAATAAATGCTGCTCCTTCCTTTCATCTCTCCCTCCCTCCTTCCCTCCTTCCCTCCTTCCCTCCTTCCCTCCTTCCCTCCTTCCCTCC